ATGTTCTGCCGTTCTCTAGGCCCTGCTCTTCAAAGCAGCCACTGACTGGAGGCGCAACAGTCGAGTCCACTCTGAGAGAGGGCGAACAGTTCGCCAACGCCTTCTTCGACACCGAGACCAAGATCAAGATTGCCAAGGCTCTCGATGACTTCGGTGTTGACTACATCGAGCTGACCTCCCCGGCGGCTTCTGAGCAGTCCCGCAAGGATTGCGAGGCTATCTGCAAGCTCGGCCTCAAGGCCAAGATTCTGACTCACGTCCGCTGTCACGTAAGAAGTCTCGCCATCTCGCGAGCAAGACTACTTCGCTAACCAGTGAACAGATGGACGATGCCCGTCTTGCCGTCGAGACCGGTGTAGACGGTGTTGATGTCGTCATTGGCACCTCTTCCTACCTGCGCGAGCACTCTCACGGCAAGGACATGACCTACATCATTAACGTGGGTCTGACTTCAATTCCGAGTCGCGCAATGATTTACTGACAGCTTTGATGAACAGACTGCCATTGAGGTTATCCAGTTCGTCAAGTCCAAGGGTCTCGAGATCCGTTTCTCCTCCGAGGACTCCTTCCGTTCCGACCTCGTCGATCTGCTTTCCGTCTACAGCGCCGTCGACAAGGTCGGCGTCCACAGAGTCGGTATTGCCGACACCGTCGGTTGCGCCAGCCCCAGACAGGTCTACGACCTCGTCCGCACGCTCAGAGGTGTCGTCAGCTGCGACATTGAGACTCACGTAAGTCGCGTCTGAGTGCGAAGATCCCACAAAGGCTCGACCATGCTGATGCGCGAGATTTAGTTCCACAACGACACCGGATGCGCCATTGCCAACGCCTACTGCGCTCTTGAGGCTGGTGCCACCCACAGTGAGTTGCTTTCCGTAGCCCGTGCCTGGGAAACTACTTGCTAATTGCCTGTCGCAGTTGACACCTCCGTCATCGGTATCGGTGAGCGCAACGGTATCACCCCCCTGGGTGGTCTGATGGCTCGCATGATCGTCGCCGCCCCCGAGTACACCAAGTCCAAGTACAAGCTCCACAAGCTCAAGGAGCTTGAGGACCTGGTCGCCGAGTCTGTCGAGATCAACATTCCCTTCAACAACTACATCACTGGCTTCTGCGCCTTCACCCACAAGGCTGGTATCCACGCCAAGGCCATTCTCAACAACCCCAGCACATACGGTATGTGGCCCAGCTACAGCGTTTGGCCAGTGACGAAAGCTAACTCGGAGCAGAAATTATCAACCCTGCCGATTTCGGTATGAGCAGATACGTCCACTTCGCCTCGAGATTGACTGGATGGAACGCCATCAAGAGCCGTGTCGAGCAACTTGGCCTCACCATGACCGACGCGCAGGTCAAGGTCGTTACTCAGAAGATTAAGGCCCTGGCAGACGTCAGGCCAATCGCCATTGACGACGCCGACTCAATTATTCGTACTTTCCACTTGAACCTCAACTCTGACGAGGAGAAGCCTCTTCTGCCGAACCTGACTGCCGAGGAGCAGGCCAAGTTCGAGCAGGCGGAAAGAGAGCTTGCTGGCGAGCCGGAGAAGCGTGCACTGGATGAGGCTGCAGCGGAGCCCGCTGCCAAGAAGGTTAAGGCGTAAAAATTGTTTTCGGGATGCATACGGGACTTCAAAAAAGGGGGCATCTGCTTGTACAATCATAGAGGGGAGAGCTACAAAAGTGTTTAGTTCAGATACCTCATCATATCAACGACGAAATGGAACGTTTATACTACGTAATTTTGACGCAGACTCCGATGTCGCTGATGCTATAACTTTCCCCACGAACCAGTAGAGCTCTTGCCTCGAGAGCTTCATCGAGGGCAGACACTCAGGCCACGTAGCTTGCAATGACATTTGCTATCCTTCCCGTAGGCTCACCGCCCTCGGTCGCAATAAAATCAATGGTCATTACGTCGCGTGCCCGTTGTCCAGGTAAAGCTCCAAAAAGTTAGCTCAGACGTGGACCGGGGTCCAGTTGGTGGGGCTTGGCCAAGGAGCTAAGATAAGATAAGCAGCGGCAGAATGCAAAAAAATAATTCACTGACAACTGGGTGTCTAACCGCCCGCGCTGAATCCCTTCTCTGTACCGGCAACGTCCAAAACTTCACCTCGAGAATGCGCATCCCTCTCATGCCCTCATGACACAATAGAAGCCGATCGAAATACCTCTTCTGAAAGTCGACTTCAATTTTGACCGATCGAAATACCGGCCGCGACCATAAACACAAATTCAAGATGGATGCGCACGCCCTGCTTTCGCGGCAAGGGTGGCGCGGCAAAGGGCACTCCCTCCACGCAACGGACGACGCAATCGGCCTCGCGAAACCGCTCCTTCTCAATCGCAAAGATAATACCAAGGGCCTCGGCCAAAAAGCGCATTTCACGAGCGACACGTGGTGGATGAATGCGTTCGACGAGCAGCTCCAGGGCCTGGACACGTCGAAGAAAGGGCAGGTCACGCAGACCGTCACGCAAGGACGGCTGAACCAAATCGAGAAGGTTTCTGGCGGGAAGTGGATGCTGTACGCGAGCTTCGTCAGGGGCGGGTTCTTGGATGGGACGATCAAGGGTCCGGAGGAAGACAGCGGCACTTCGACGCCGGAGAGCGAGGAGACGAGTGGCGATAGCGAGGATGGAGGCGTCAAGCTGTCGAGGGGCAAGGAGAGGGGTGAGACTAAGGAGGAGAAGAGGGCGAGGAAGGCTGCGAGGAGAGCGAGGAAAGAGGCGAGGGAGGCGAGGAGAAAGGAGCGGGCTTTGAAGAAGGCGAAGAAGTCTAAGGCGGTAGAAAAGGCCGACAAGGGGCAGGCGAGGGAGGAGTCTAAGGAGGAGAGGAAGGCAAGGAGAAAGGCGAAGAAGGCGAAGAGGGAAGCGAGGAAAGGAAAGACCGAGTCCGGGTGAGGTTGATCTGTCCAGGACATGGATCAGCTATAAAACCAAGGGTCTCAGGCTCACAGGTTGACAACCCTGCCGACTAGGAGGAAATCGCGCCGTTCACATGATGAGCGTTAGCGCTTGGTGACTACGCAGCATCGGGCAAGGCCGGTGATTGCCGCATGGAACGCACCAGCTCGAAAGATACCATTGGCGCAGCATATACAGTGCTGCTTCCGGCAGAGTTTGCGATATGGATATAGGATCGGAGCGCAAGATACACATCCGCGGTGTAACGGTATGCTTTCCAGCATAACCGGCCGCCGTAATTCAACTTTTACGCCATCTAAGCTGCCGACGCTGACTGTCTTCTGTGGTGCAGTTCCTTGTCTCTCATGCAAAGGCTTCGGGCCCATCTGAGCTAACATCTAAGGTTCTTTGGGCGTCTTACCCGGCTTGTTGGACAGCAGCCAGGGCCTCCTGTCCCAAAAGTCGTCCTTGATGATGTCCAGATGCTCTATCACGACGCGGGCCTTGTTGCGCTTCTTCTTTTCCTTCTCGGCCTGCGACTTGCTCTGTTGCGTTGGTTCGGCCAGGGCATCTGCGGCCTCGGACGCATTGTGAGTTCCGGGCTCGACAAGTTCGTACTATGAATTTGTTAGTGTTTTCGTAATCAAGGGGGAGTAGATATCCTTACGTCTCGGAAGATCACACTACCCTTCTTATACATCTCAGGCTCATTGTTATAGTTGATGTTGAATTTTGAGAAGAGAATCTCATTCTTGTCGCCGGAGACGGTGCCCTGGAAAACTTTTAGTTTTTGTGAGAACGGGAAGATTGCCCTTGTTATGTGACTGACCGCAAGCATTTGCTCGGCTGTCTTGTTGTCATAGCCGCCCAGTTGGATCAAGGACCAGAATGTTGTATTGTACAAGTTGTTGATGTGGCCTAAAAGGATGAGTCAGATCGAAATTCATGATAGAAAAACTCTAAGCAACAGTTTGCTGCCCGTATGACTCAGATATGTCGAAACTTACAGTCAACCTGACGCCAGCTCATGTAGTCTCTCAAGTTTGAGACAGTGGGATAGCAAACAGCCCTGCCATCAAAACTTGGCAGAGGTGGTGAAAGCGGGGTATCAGGGAAGTATTGTGACCACAAGTAGATGTAGTTGGCAGTGAACGTTGATACCACTGTGCTCACTAGCTTACTAGAGGTTTGTGAGCTTCTGCACTCTTATGCCCAAGGGTTTTGGTGTTCCCTACCTGGCTCTTCTTTCGAACAGCGTGCATGATTTATGGAAGACGAAACTGTACTCGTCGCTCACACCATACGCTATGGTGATGTCTGGAAGTTCTGTTACCACCACGCGCGCGGCCGCGTTCATGAGATCGAGCGCTCTTTTATCGTTCGGCTTCTCGAACTGGTACTTGGCGCATAGTCTGTGAGTCGGTCAGAGTTATTCAGTTGTTCGTCTGGTCCGATGTCCCCTTACTTTGTGAAACCTCTGCCGTCGATACGAACCACAATCCATGTGTTTGGAAGAAGGGTGTCAGCTTGCTCGAAAGCCTTTACATATTCGAACCTGTGACACGAGTTAGTCAGGTCTCGAGCTTCATATCGGGCGACCGTACTTGGAATTCGCCATAATGAGAATATTCGTGCTGAGCCTGCCAAGGTTGATAGGTGAACACTCAAAAATAGGACATAGGGCCGAGGATAAAATAAGAGGAATCGGGCTCGAAACAGGAGGTCAGGAGTCGTCACCCTCCTTTGACATGCGTCAACCCTCGAATGACAGTCAGAGATGGATTTCAGGTAGAGTTCGCGCCGAGTGTAAGGCGGGCGGGAATGGTGGGGGAGGGGTTGTTGCTCCTTCAGTGGGGTTCGTCGCTGAAAAGCTGCGTCCAAGCACCCAAAGGTAGGTCCCTGATCCCTGTAACCTCTGCCGTCAGCCTTGCAGGCGTGATGGAATAAAGGCAATCGCAACCGCGCACGGCTAAACGATAATTTGCGACTTTGGAGCTCTCAGACTTCCACTTTCTCAATTATTTACCAGCACCTTGTCGCTTCGAAATTGGCTGCTCTTGCCCGAATATCTTCGCCCGCAGCCCTATTGAGCATCATGAATTTTCTGCTCAGCAACGAAGAGAACGAGGCCATTGCCGCCGTCGAGGCCATCAATGCGATCAACAACACAAATACGATTCGGTCCGGCCACTCAACATGTCTGCGTTTCAACCGAGGAGGCGACCTTCTTGCTTCTGGCAGAGTCGATGGAACAGTGGTAATTTGGGATATTGAGACTATGGGAGTTGCCAGGAAGATGCGCGGCCACAACAGGAGCATTACATCACTAAGCTGGTCAAGATGCGGCCGGTATCTGCTATCGGCCTGTCAAGGGTGGAAGGCCATTCTATGGGATCTCAAGGATGGCAAAAGATACCGCGAGGTTCGCTTTCGAGCCCCTGCCTACATCGCCGAGCTCAATCCCTTCAACCAGTGAGTATAACCCCCCAACAGATCAGAAGAACTGAGCTGACGCGACAAGTCACCAGTTTGTGGCCTCCATCTTCGAAGAGCAACCAATACTCGTGGACATCTCAGACGTGAACGATGTGAAATACCCACTGCCATCAGCGCCGAAGCACCCCGAGGGAGAAAGGACCGAGAAGCAGTTGAAAGAGGATGCGAAACAGATGACAACGGTTACGATTTATACTTCTACCGGCGAGCACATACTGGCTGGCACAAACAAGGGATGGGTGAACGTCATCGATGTCAAAACGAGAAAGACGATATACTCGGAGAAACCTTGCAGCGGCGTCATTACAACACTGCGTCTTAACAATTCGGGGCGTGTGTTGTTGATCAATGCGCAAGATCGTATCGTCAGAACCTTTCACATTCCGAATCTGGCGGCGGAGGACCTGGACCTCGACACGGTACACTTTACGAAGGAGCACACTTTCTCGGACCAGGTCAACAGGTTATCTTGGAACCACGTCACGTTCAGCTCCGCTTCCGAATACGTAGCAGCGTCGACCTATAATAATCACGAGATATACGTATGGGACAGAGGCATGGGAAGCACAGGATTGATCCGAATCCTAGATGGACCCAAGGAGGAGCAAGGTGTTGTCGAATGGCATCCAGATCGACCGTTCATCGCTACGTGTGGCCTGGAGACGGGGAGGATATACGTCTGGTCCGTCATCCCAGAACAGAAATGGTCGCGACTTGCACCAGACTTTGCGCAGGTCGAAGAGAACCAGGAGTATGAGGAGAAAGAGGACGAGTTTGATATCTACGGTCAGGAGGAATTGACCAAGAGGCGGCTGGACGCCGAGGACGAGGATATTGACGTGGTCAGCTCTGACTTTCTTCACGTGAACAACGGGGGCAAAGAAGCGTTCCGCATGCCGATTCTTTTCGATCTTGGCGAGAGCGACAGCGAAGAGGAGTTTGTCGCGGTATCTACCGGAACCATGAGGAGAAGGAGTCCAGGTGCGGACGGTGAGATACCGGATAGCGAGGTGATTGAGGAGAAGATTCCATCAAGGAAGGGTGCAACCAAGCCGTCGAAGGCCGGCAGGAGGCGATGAAGGACTTGCTGTCACTTCAGTGTGGTGTTTCGACAGCTCCAGCAGCCCGGTTGAAGCGTCGGTGTACACGCGTGACGGGGCGTTGGATCGCGTAGCTATGGGACGAGCTTCGGTTGGCGTCCAGACCCCTGCCAAATACTTGGCGCGACGGCGGTGATGCCAGACTCCAGCTTCGTACAGCTGCTCATTAATAGCAAACAATGCCCAAGTGGTTTTAGCAAGCGCAAGTTGAACGTAGTCGTGCCTGAAAGAGTGCATCGAGACGTCGAGATATGACCTCGAGTCAATGAATAAATTTTTTTGACTCATCGGCCAGTTGCAACTTGAGGCCAGTCAGCCAGCGCGCCTTCCAACGAATCTCCTAAGAAACGTCAAGGTAGGTAAGGTAGAGCTACTTCTGTCCTCGTAAGGGATTGGTGCGTTTCAGCACTTTTGCGGGTACCCGGACTACCTCCAGCGGGAGCCTTAGGCACGCGTTCCCAGCCAGAGCAGGAGAGAAAGGAGCGTGACTGCCTAATCCGGCTAGCGCCTTTTGACAGGCTGCGCCAGCCGCCTCCAGGCAAGATTTCTCTGACCTCGCTCCTCGCTTTTACCTCCAAGGCTTCACATCTACAACTACCGACAAGCCATCGCTTCACCACGCGCATCGTCGGAGAGCGCGTCAAAGCACCAGCACACTCCTTTCCGACTCGACGACCGATATCACGATCGCGATTTTTTCTTCGACTCGCCCGCGCTCGGAAGCCGCGATTGGGAGGAACTGTGGAACCTTCTCCTGGGCCGCTGGCCGGGGATTGGCGTGGTCAAGAGCGCCATCATTGGAACGACTTTTCTCGACCTTTTGCATCTCGACGAGCGTTTCGTACGATAGAATTTTGCATTTCCGACTTCTTGCGCCTGCTTTGCGACCTTTTCAAGTCGCGTAACGACTATCTGCTGCATCCGCGTTTTTCGCCCCCGGACTCTGCCAGTCACGCTTCGACACCTTCCTTGCCGACTCCGACAGAAAAACCGGCAACATGGCGAACCTGTACTTTACGCACTCGAGTGCGCCAATCAAGACTGTGGAGGAGATCCAGTTTGGTCTGATGGCGCCCGAGGAGATCAAGAATATGAGTGTCTGCCACGTTCTCTACCCCGAGACCATGGACGAGACGCGCACCAAGCCTCGTGACGGCGGTTTGAACGATCCCATGCTCGGTTCCATCGATCGCCAATTCAAGTGCAAGACCTGCAACCAGGCGATGGGCGAATGTCCAGGCCACTTCGGCCATATCGAGCTGGCCAAGCCTGTGTATCACCCCGGCTTCATCAAGAAGGTGAAGAAGGTGTTGGAAATCGTCTGCCATAATTGCAGCAAGGTGCTGGCGGATAGAGTTAGTCTAACCGGCGTTGCTTGACAGCCACCTTGACTCGATTGTGCTAACCTGCCCATCTCAGAGCGACCCAGAATTTCTGCAAGCCGTGAACACCAGAGATCCAAAGGTTCGATTTAACCGGATATGGAATATCTGCAAGAAGAAGACCCGTTGCGAGAACGAGACCAAGGAGGTCAAGAACGACGATGGAGAGTACAGTTTGGGAATGAAGCAGGCTCCCGTCAACCACGGTGGTTGCGGCAATATCCAGCCCAGAGTTCGTCACAAGGCGTTGCAGCTCATCGCCAAGTACGAGTCTTCTGGCGAGGATGGTGTCAAGAAGAAGGAGGAGCCTCAAATCACACCCGAGATGGCTCACAACATTCTGCGCCGCATCAGCGATGACGACCTGAGGGACATGGGTCTCAACCTTGAGTACGCTCGTCCGGAGTGGATGATCGTTACTGTTCTGCCAGTTCCGCCTCCGCCTGTTCGTCCTAGTATTTCTATGGACGGCACCGGTCAAGGCCTGAGAAACGAAGATGATTTGACCTACAAGCTGGGTGATATCATACGAGCCAACAGCAACGTCAAGCAGGCCATTCGCGAAGGCTCTCCTGCACACATTGCTCAAGACTTCGAGCAGCTTCTGCAGTACCACGTTGCCACCTACATGGACAACGACATTGCTGGACAACCTCGTGCTCTCCAAAAAAGTGGTCGTCCCGTCAAGGCCATTCGTGCCCGTCTCAAGGGCAAGGAGGGTCGTCTCCGTGGAAACTTGATGGGTAAGCGTGTTGACTTCTCGGCACGTACCGTTATCACTGGTGACGCCAACTTGTCTCTCGACGAAGTCGGTGTGCCCCGAAGCATCGCTAGAACTCTCACCTACCCTGAAACAGTCACGCCATACAACATCGGCAGGCTGCACGAGCTGGTTCAAAACGGACCCAACGAACACCCTGGTGCCAAGTATGTTATTCGCTCTGACGGAACCAGAATTGATCTTCGTCATCACCGTCGAGCCGGTCAGATTTCGCTCGAGTACGGCTGGAAGGTCGAGCGTCACTTGATCACGGGCGACTACATCATCTTCAACCGTCAGCCCTCCCTGCACAAGGAGTCTATGATGGGTCACAGAGTTCGTGTGATGCCATACTCTACGTTCCGTCTCAACTTGTCCGTCACCTCGCCCTATAACGCCGATTTCGACGGTGACGAAATGAACCTTCACGTCCCTCAAAGCGAAGAGACGAGAGCAGAGGTCAAGGAACTGTGCTTGGTACCGATCAACATCGTGTCACCGCAAAGAAACGGTCCTCTTATGGGTATCGTGCAGGACACTCTTGCCGGTGCCTACAAACTCTGCCGTCGTGACGTTTTCCTCACCAAGGAAGCCGTGATGAACATCATGCTCTGGGTTCCCAACTGGGACGGTGTAATCCCCCCACCAGCTATCATTCGTCCTCGACCAAGATGGACGGGTAAGCAGATCATGAGCATGGCTATTCCCAACATTGTCAGCTTGCACAATGCCCCGGATTCCAAGGAAGACAACCCGCTTAAGGACGAGGGTCTTCTTATCCAATCCGGCGAGCTCCTTTACGGTCTGCTTTCCAAGAAGAACATCGGTGCTGCCAGTGGTGGTATTGTCCACATCGTCTACAACGAGCACGGCCCCGAAGCGTCTATGAAGTTCCTTAACGGGGTTCAACAAGTTGTCAACTATTGGCTGTTGCACAATGGTTTCAGCATCGGTATCGGTGACACGATTCCCGATAAGTTGACCATTGAGAAGGTGCAGGTACATATCGACGAGCACAAGGCGGAAGTCGAGGCCTACACTCAGCAGGCTACCGCCAACGAGCTCGAGCCTCTGCCCGGTATGAACATTCGTGAAACTTTCGAGAGCAAGGTTTCTAAGGCCCTCAACACTGCCCGTGATAAGGCTGGTACCACTACACAGAAGAGTTTGAAGGACTTGAACAACGCCGTCACCATGGCTTCCTCTGGTTCCAAGGGTTCGTCCATCAATATCTCCCAGATGACTGCGCTCGTCGGACAGCAGATTGTCGAGGGTAAGCGTATTCCTTTCGGGTTCAAGTACCGGACGCTGCCCCATTTCACCAAGGACGACTACTCTCCCGAGGCTCGTGGTTTCGTCGAGAACTCCTACCTCCGTGGCCTGACGCCAAGCGAGTTCTTCTTCCACGCCATGGCTGGTAGAGAAGGTCTGATTGATACCGCTGTCAAGACTGCCGAAACCGGATACATCCAGCGTCGTCTGGTCAAGGCTCTTGAGGATGTTAGTGCCAAGTACGACGGTACAGTCAGAAACTCCCTGGGTGATATCCTTCAATTCCTGTATGGTGAGGATGGTCTGGACGCTATCTACATTGAGAAGCAGCGGATGGACCACCTCAACATGTCAGACAAGAAGTTCGCTGACCGGTTCCGCCTCGACGTCATGGATGAGACCAGACCAGACGAGCTTGATTGGCTTGAGTACGGTAATGAGATTTCTGGTGACCCGTCAGTCCAGCAACTTCTGGACGAGGAGTACGAGGCTCTCCTTCATGATCGCAAGCAAGTTCGCAAGATCAACTTCAAGAGGAAGGACGACGAGTCGATGCAGCTGCCTTTGAACATTGTTCGTCTGATGGAAACTTCCAAGAAGCTCTTCGCTGTCGAAGACTTCCAGCGGAGTGATTTGAAGCCTCAGGATGTCATCCCTGCTGTCCAGGCTATGCTCAACAGAATGACCATCGTTCGTGGCAACGACGAAATCTCCAAGGAGGCCGACCGAAGCGCCACCATCCTCTTCAAGGCGCAGATCCGCTCCAGATTGGCCTTCAAGCGTATTGCTTGCCAACAGCGCCTGAACAAGATGGCTTTCGAGCACGTCCTGGGAGAGCTGGAAGCCCGTTGGGACCGTGCCTTTGTCAGTCCCGGTGAGATGGTTGGTGTCATTGCTGCGCAGTCTATTGGTGAGCCTGCCACGCAGATGACCCTGAACACCTTCCATTTCGCTGGTGTGTCTTCCAAGAACGTCACCCTGGGTGTCCCTCGTCTCAAGGAAATTCTCAACCTGGCTCAGAACATTAAGACCCCGTCCATGGTCGTCTACCTGAGTGGCGAGGAAAACGCCAGCCAGGAAGCTGCCAAGGCCCTTCGAAGCACTGTCGAACACACGACCCTGCGGTCTGTCACAGCCGTCACTGAGATCTACTACGACCCTATCATCACCTCGACTAACATTCCTGATGATTTGGATATGGTCGAGTCCTACTATCTCATTCCGGACGAGACTCATGACCGAGCCGAAGATCAATCCAGGTGGCTGCTCCGTCTCACGCTCGATCGCCAGAAGTTGCTTGACAAGGAACTTACTGTCGAGGACGTTGCTAGGCGCATCAAGGAGGAGTACCCCAACGATCTCGCCGTCATTTTCAGTGACAACAACGCCGAAGAGCAAGTTATCCGCATTCGCCCCATGCACGCTGGCAACGATGACAAGGACGAGGATGGTGAGAAGAAGATGGAGGACGATGTCATGCTTAAGAGATTGGAGACTCACTTGCTGGACACGCTTTCTCTGCGCGGTGTTAAGGGCATTGAGAGAGCCTTCTTGAATAAGGAGACGAAGCTCATCGAGACCGAAGACGGAGCATTGCTGGCCGCCAAGGCTGATGAGCGTTGCTCAGAGTGGTACCTGGATACCTCTGGAACTGCTCTCCGCCAGGTCTTGTCTGTCGACGGCGTCGATTCCACTCGCACATACACCAACCACTTGTGGCAGGTTGTTGAGGTCTTCGGTATCGAAGCGGCGAGATCGGCACTTGTCAGAGAATTGACGCAGGTGTTGGCGTTCGACGGTTCATACGTCAACCACAGACATCTTGCTCTTCTTTGCGACGTCATGACCTACAGAGGTACGATCTCCGCTGTCACTCGTCACGGTATCAATCGTGCAGACACTGGTGCTCTCATGCGTTGTTCCTTCGAGGAGACGGTCGAAATTCTGCTCGAGGCTGCCGCTGTTGGTGAACTGGACGATTGCCGCGGTATTTCTGAGAACGTTATGCTCGGTCAGATGGCACCGATGGGAACCGGTCACTTCGAGGTCCTCCTCGACCCCAAGATGTTGGAGACTGTCATCAGCGACAACTCGCGCATGGGTCTCATGCCTGGTATGCCTGTCAAGGGCGGCGAGGCCGGAGGTGCCGCAACCCCCTACGACTCTGGCTCTCCCATGGCGGATTCTGGATACTTGTCGCTCAGCTCTCCTGCTGCCGGAAACTTCTCTCCCATCGTGGGCGCTGGCTCAGATTCCCCTGCCGGTTTTGGTACCGAGTACGGTGGAGGAGGCTTTGGTGGTATTGGTTCTGTCAACCCGTACTCGGCGCAGAGCCCGGGCCGGCCAACAAGTCCATTCAGCACGTCACCGACCTCGCCTTTCAGCAGCTACGGATCTTTCTCGCCGTCCTCGCCGAACGCGGGATACTCTCCCACTTCGCCACTCATGGACGGTGCTGGCGGTCGCTATGCGACTTCGCCACAGTTCAGCCCTTCCTCCCCGTCGTTCTCCCCGACGTCACCCATGCTGCGACCCACGAGCCCTGCAAGCCCCAACTACAGCCCGACGTCTCCAAGCTACTCGCCGGCTTCTCCCTCTTCGCCAAGGCACTACTCGCCCACCTCTCCAGCGCAGTACGCCTCGCCCACCTCGCCGAGCTACTCTCCTGCCAGTCCCAACTACAGCCCGGCATCTCCCAACCTTCACGGGGCTGGTCCCACGTCGCCATCGTACTCCCCTGCGTCGCCGACGTGGTCGCCAACTTCACCGGAGGCGTACTCGCCGACAAGCCCGAGTTTCAACCAACGAACTCCTGGGGCGCAGCAGTCTCCGACCAGCCCCAGCTACTCCCCAACCGTAAGTGTACCATCACTCCTATAAACGCAAACCTGGCAGTTTCTAACACGATGTCACAGTCACCTTCTTGGTCTCCGAGAACCCCTGGACCCGGTGGTTCTGGAAACTAAACGTGTGTCGAGCTCTGATGAGGCATCCGATCGTGCCTTCGGTTCGCCACTTTCTTTTACTCTCCTAATACGCCGACTAATGATTCTACGGCTTAACTGGTTCTGGTTGATTGGAACATTGCATCTCATCACAGACGCAGGCTGTCACTGATCTCTTCTTTCGCGCGGAGGAAATGGTTGCTATGCATCATAGAAGTGCTCCAGAGACAACACACAAAAACAACACAAGATTGCGCCAAGCAAAATGGCTAGAGGGAAAGGTACTGGACAGGAAGCGGCACGCATATCTACACCCCCACAAAACAAACGATTGAGAAAAAAAAAATTCCCAAAGAAAGAAAACCCTTTCACGGCGTGGTTTCTGTAAAAAGCTGATTTGTATTATATGCGATGGGGGTTTAAGGGGGAAGGAGGGAGGGGAGTGGACTCTTGATTTTGATGCTTACGTGCGACGGAGAGATGAGGTTGAAGGACTCCCCGGCCCACCCCCCTTTGTTGGAAGAGACAAAGACACAGATTGGACTTTTCTCGCGAGGGAGAGGAGGTTTAGTTTTTTTTTTACCCCCCTACCCACAGAAGACACTCTGGAATGAACCAAGATTGGTTTTGATGCGAATAACACTGTGTGCAATGCGTGTTGTGCAATCTCCTATGTGTGTAAGTGTGCAGCATCCGACAGACAGAGCCTCTGCTGTGATGATGACCGTCGACCTGCACCGTTCCGAGTGTGTGCCCAGTCGTTGCAGTTGCAGCCCGAACATCGCGTTTACTACTTCAAGAAAATGCCAAACGTTGGGCAACAACCACATCCAATTTTACCGCTCCAGGGCAGGGAGAAAGGTGGGTTCGAGGAGCACGGTTGGGGAAATGTGTGTCGATGGAGTCGGACGTGATCTACGGCGTTGTCATCACATACTACTCCTACTGTTGAACACAACCCACGCCCCCCCCCCCCCTCTCGCTCTCCCCCTTCCTCCCCTGCCTTGAGACCGTACACCAAGAATCGCCTCGCTCATCCGAGGGGGGTTGTTCATGGGGGAGACGTCACAATCTACCCACGCGTCCGCGTTTCTCCTTGCCGGAGCGAACTGACATGACACCAGGACGCAACAGGAAAAGCTCCTTGCTCGTTGCTCCTTGTCGTCGTTCGTCCCTTCCTTCCTTCTCCTTCGCGTGCCCGAGCAGGCAGCGGCGCGGACGGCGGGCGCGCGGACGCAGGCGACAGCGGCGCCACCCGCTTCCCACAGCGTTCGTCAAAACTCTGTTTCTAATTGTTCTGGTCCTTCTTTGTCTTGGGCTCTTGTGTCTCCTCTTTCCGGAGAGGGGCCCCTTGAGGCTTGTGTGTAAAGGCATGAGGGTTATCCATGAACAACATCAATGATGCAAGGCGGGGCCGGAGCTCGTACCCTCCTGGAGACTCGGGAGGGGGGCCGTTGACCAAGGGTCAGGTAGACATCATGGATTATTTGCCCATAGGACAAGACGCGTCCTCGTCGGACTGCTCGCTCTTCCTCTTTCGGCCAGCCGAGAGGCTCCATCCATCCTCTCCGTCTCCATCTTTAGTCCCGTCCCGTGTGCCAGTCTCATCGTCACAAAAGTTACGAGTCATCATACATGCTCACGATTCCGGTCTGGGCCATTCAGCCTCTTTCTTCAGTAGCCACGGAGCTGTGTGCAATGGATGGGGATGAAGGGAGGGTAGGGTGAACCAAGAGTCGTTCTTGATGGTGGTGTGCGGGAGGTCGCTTGACTTTCTAGCCTCACCAACACCCGCCGAGGGTTCCAATACAGTTTTGATGAACCCTCCCTCTCCCCTCCTGCTTTCTCTGTTTTTTTTTTTCTTTTTTGCCAAGCCGCGGTTCTTGCGGTTGGTTCCAACATGTGTACGCTCAGTAGCACGCGTACATACTGGTAGTGTGTGTGTGTGTTAGTGCGTGCGCGTGGGCCACACCCAGTTTGGGTGTGTTGCAAAAAAACGAAACGAAGAGGAATACTGCCTTACGGGGTCGCGGCCGAGTGGCAGAGACTGTGCCGTTTCCCCCGAGCCCCGAGAAGGGCAAGGGTATTTACCAGGTCCTTGGGGCACCGTATCCGTAGCAGGCATGAGGAAGAAGGAAAACGAAAGTCCCGCCGAAAGGGCCATCTCAATCTGAGCCGGCCCAGACCAATGACATTCGTTCCTTGATCAAATGCAAGGCGGCAAAAGCCAGGCAGCCCATTGTGCCTTTCGCCTGCGCCTCTCTTCCCCTCTCTTCGACTGCTGACTTTGAGGGCGTATGCTCACTTCCCAAGCGCCCGTAGCGACCACAATATTATGATAATTGTGGGCTCCAAATTTGCGGCGAAAAGGAGGGCCCTGACCTCGTATGCCCTTTGCTGCTTGTTGGTCTTGGGTTGGACGTCGACCCGGTCAACGGGCCAAGGGAACCGGAGCCCGGTAACAGGGCCCCTCCAGCAGGCGAAGGGGGAAAAAGGAAATATTGAAGGCCTTTGACTGCGACAAGCGAAGTAACTCGGTGAAAGATGGAAGGGGCCAAAGGTCATCGAGTCCCCACAATGAGACGGTTATTGCGCGTTGTCGAACCAACACAGTCTCTCTGCTTTTCATTCATTCTTGATAATCCATCATCAATCAGTCGCGCCGTGTGGGACCTTGAACTCGACGCACAGGACACACGGTCGAGACGCTAAAACCTCGAACCGTCTGCCGCAAAGATCGATCACTGGGGTTATCCCTAGCCCTAGCATGGTGAGATGGGGCATTGGGGGTGAAGCGCTGAGGCGTACATGGGGTTGAAGGGTTCCCGCGGCTTGGAGTTTTGTTGATTATCCCTTCTATAAACACTTCAGTTAAGAGCGCGAGCATGGGCCCATGTAGGAAGGATTGCACGAGGAGGGGAGAGAAGCAAAAGACCAACCGTGCCACCCTCGTAAATCGGCCGGCTTGCGGGCTAGATTCCGCTCCCGTCGCTGATTTTGGACCGGTCTGGCGAGATATACTGGGGGCTCTTCGCTTGACGTTGGCCTCGAAGGGGGCGATGAGCTTGTGAAGAAAAAGGAAAGAAAGAAGGCATGCGACGATATCGCGAGTCGTCTAACGATCTGCACCTGTGGCGCAGTTGGGCTTGCTTCCGCCCAACACCCGACCCCCAAAGCTGGCAGTTCCTGAGCGAATAGAGGACCATTTGCTTTTGTGAAGTTTCCGTTGGGCTCTGATTGGCTTTATGCAGTCGAAGCGATGTGCATAGCCGCCGACGACCAGGCTGGCGGGCGCCCTGGGCGGCGGCCTGCACATGCAAGCTGACTCCGGACAGCACCCTGTGCCCCAAACACGCATGCAAGTTGGGTGGACGGTCATGGCCGAAGATCCGTCGCGAGCGGAGAGGTGCTGGGCACAGTGCTGAAGATGAGCGAAACCCAGACTGGCTGAGTGTTATGGGCACAGTATGCAGTGCTTGAATTCGACGGAAAAAAATACGATTGTGCTTTTCATGTTTGTGCTGTAAGACGTGACACGGAGAGTGTCAACGAGGTAGATGACGGGCCGAAGACGAGCACGAGGGATTCGGCAGGGAGCCAGAACACAGGGGCGGTAAACAGCAGCTGCTATCCTCGCGCCCGGTTATTTTAGGCTATTGAGCAAATGTTTGCCGTCACCCCGTTGAAAATGGCCGTAATATCTGGCAGAAACACGGCGTGAAGGACTCGTATGCCAGGCAAGATTTGTGATTAGGGTGAGATGACGGTCCCTGGGGTCTATGCCCATCTGGCCTGGCGAGAGGCTCTCTCTGTAGCCGGGTTGTGTCCGGTGGGCATCTTGGCGCAAAAGAAAAAAAAAAGCGGTTGACGAAGGAGGCAGATCGGGAAACTCATTCGCATCGTAGTGTTCATCCAATTCCCTTGAGGCCCTGGAGATGGGACCCCATGTTCCGTACGTCTAAAGTTGCTTGGGATCCCCTGGTCAGCGGTCGATTGCCAGTGGAGGAGGCATCAATGCTCAGGCTTGGCGCACTGCAGGGGGGCACTTCAACGGCGAGACTCTGGTCGCAGCGCGATGCTGCATTGGTATGACGCGGGAATGAGGCCACGGCAGGGCATTGGGGGTTGTACAAGGTTGCGTGCGGCCAGAAAGAAATAACAAGAGGCGCAGAGATGGCGACGGCCACAGCAACTGTGAGATACAACCCGGCAATTGCTGCCGGTACGGCGCAAGTCGAGAGTAATGCAGGCAGACATTGTGGACAAGCTGTGTGGTTGAGGTAATGGTAGACGGTATGCGTGTGGTGGATGTGCGTGCATACGTGCCCGTGTTTTGTGTGATACTTGTGTCGCGACAACCACGGTCTTGTTGAGCGTGCGACGGCGGCGGTGGTACAGCCGAATACAAGCATAAAGTAGAGTTGGTGCATGCGTGACTCTGGACACGAGGCCGGTCAGCGTACAGAGCTGTACCTTAGGCTGGTATCCGCAATCATCTTTACCTGAGGTAAGGCGAGACAAGACGGGCAGAATCGACGTGCGCCCACATCATCACGTCTTCCAAGGCGAGACTGGAATGGACGCTTGCTTGCCCGCTCGCCTGCCTGCCTGCTTGCGCCGCCGCGTGTCCACCTCGACTTGAAGACGTGACGGCGAGGCCAGTCGGCATGGATACGAAGGCGAGGGTGAGTGGCCTCGTACGTATCCGCACGTAGGGGAGAAAGGCAGAAAAAAAAAGGAAGCTCAGGGTTCCATTGAGCAACGCAACAACAGGCAAGAGTCGCAGCTGGAAACCGGACAAGGCGTGTCCAGGCTAGTCCAGTCGAGATAAGGGCCTCCCAAAAACCCGGCCGGTGTGTTTCTTGCGTCGCAAAGCCAGGTACCTGGAGCAGGGTTGGGCCAGGGGCGGAGGATTTGATGAGACGACGTGACGTTGGGTTGGTGAAGTGCATGATGGAGGTGTGGTGAAGTCAACAGAGTAATATGCTGCACAAAAAAAACGCTCCTGCTTGCGCCGGTCTTGTCCTTCCTGTCCTGAATATGTCCTATCCTAAGGTGGTTGACATTGACAGGGCAAGGACAGCCAGGC